TTTTTTTTATTTATGCTACACTGTTTTACTCACAAGCTCTTTCTTTTTTGGACATGAATTCAATCATTGTATCTGTTCTGGTTTTTTGATAATTATTTACAAAATAATACAGATGTTTATTTTTAATTAAAATTTTAAGGCCTTTTTGACATTTACAGGCATTAAATTTGAACATAAATTGTATCTTAAGAGATAATGATTTAATTTAATATTAGCTGCATGAAGAGAATTAAAATCGATCATACTGAAGTTGTTCAAAATTTTCCAGTACCCAGTTCCATCCACTGGCTGTAAGGAACAATCTTTCCACCCCAGTAAACAGAAAACGACAACAAAAAATGCCCAAACAAGTCTGCTTCATACCACCTGTCACTCACTTCTGGTCATTTCTGCAAAAGACAAAGTAGATTGTGTGCTGAGATATTTTGAAATGTTATCTTAAAGATAATCCAAGAGACCAGTCATTTCCAGAGGTTATGTCATCCATACTAAAAGTGTGACCATGGTTAGATATTCATATATGCATCTCCTGAACTTATCATGATATCTTGTGAAACTGTTCAAGAAGTTCTAAATAACTTAGAACTTCCAAAATCCAGAAGACTTGTAGAGCTGATACTAAGACACCCTTTCCCCTCTGTTTTTTAAGAATTTCTACCTGAGATGCCCAGTGTGTTGGCCTCTACCTGCACTGTGACCGGCCCCACTGTCATCGACGTCCAAGGCCATATGAACTCCATCCAGGATCGGTGTGCGTACTCTCTGTTCTCGACTCCGTTACTCCCAGAGTTCCTTGTTCTGGGGAACTTCAGGGACAGACGTCGTAAAGATGTGAGCTTTTTGGACAGTGTGACGCTGCGTGTGGACGGGCATGACATTCACCTGGAACAAGGTGGGAGAGTTCAGGTAAGCGACCTACAGCCACAGTTCATGTGTCAGAGTGGAGTCTGATCCAAAGTCCTCCCTCATCCTCTGCTGGACTCGGTGGTTGTTGCTGTGAAATTAGCCTGTTTGTGTGTTTGACATGTTTCACTCAGTGTTTCCACCACTTTGTCTCTGCTGTGATGCAGCTGGACGACTCCACACTGACCCTCAGCAGCTCATCTCAGCTGGTTCATGGTGTGCAGCTCTCTAAGGACCAAACTGGAGTCACTGCCAAGCTGTCGCTCTCCAACCTCAACATCTCTGTCTTCTTTGATGGCAACACCGCACAGATCCACGTAGAAGGTACAGAAGATAAAGTTTAATTCTTGTAACATAAACTGTAAACTGTGCTGTTATTTATTGAGCTGCTGTGTTCCGCCATGCAACAGCCTCTGGCCTAGTTGATCTGGGGTTGGTCATCCTACAGCAGGATAATGACCCAAAAAACAAGTCCAAGCTATGCCAGAATCAGGAATAAAGAACAAGATGATAAGCTTGGAAACATGGAGTGGCTGGGACAGACTCCAGACGTAAACCCCATTGAGCTGTTTTGGGATGAACTGGACAGAAACGTGAAAGCAAGGAAAGTGAGAACATAACTGCACTTAGACTGTTGACGGTCTTTTTTTCTTTTTGGTGAGGCGAGAGATGGAAAGAGGGAAAGCTGAGACCAGCGCTGCCCTGACTGTGGGTTGTTGTATGAATGTCCAATAAAATTGACAACTGTGAGCACAACTGTTGTCGGTGTGAAGTGTATTCCACAGTATCATTGCCAAAATTGGCAATGAAGAGATGCCTTCATGAATGTAAATACAGAGGATTCATAACAAACTAAGGGTTACAATTACAAACAAGAAGGCTGATTTTGACTTTAGTAGCGGAATGATGAAGTTTGGAGGAGAGAAATAGTTCATAATCTGAAGCACCACATTATGAGTCACACATAATGGAGACAGTGTTATAGCGTGGGCATGAATGCCTTTCAGTGGAACCAATTATTTCTGAGCCTGTGAAAACATCAAACTGTGTATATATCTGTAATTCCTAAACAGTTAATGCAAGACTTTTGCTGAACACCTTTGCTTAATGCTATAAATCTAGACTACATTCAAGGCTTAAGTGTGGCATTTAATGTGGTGGTCTGCAAAGGCAAACTTCTAAAGAAGTACACAAGGTAACTGCCAAAAAATTATATATCAACAATATAACAGATGTTCCCTACTGTGTGGATCTGCTCACCGTTCAGTCACACTGGTGCAGTCGATCGTGCTGTCAGCAGTCTCACTGTACTGCATCTCACAGCTAGGGGGCGACAAACAACAAAGTTCAGGCTCATTCATACAAACAGAATATCTGCAACATCAGCAGCAGCAGTCAGAGGGACTGTGAGCTTGTGATGAGGTCTTACCTGGTGGAGCTGTACTCAGAGAGCCTCAGGTCACTCAGAGAGCTGCTGGAGTTTCCACACAGACCCTCCACAGATGAACCAGCAGGTCCTGCACATTTT